ACTTCTTTTTATTAAAGGCGACACGACCCTGCGCTATCCTCTGCTTTATATCCCTACTACTCCTTCCATCCTCACTTATCTGACTTCCTAGGTATCTAAAATCAGCCACTTCTTCTAATTTTTCGTCTCCTATCTTTATATTCGCTCTTTCCCTACTTTTTCTTCCCTTGCATATCAGTATTTTTGTTTTACTTTTATTTATTTTCATACAGTACTGTTTTGTCAATATTTTATGTTATTGTTTCGATCGATGGACCATTTTTATACACTTAGCCTTAAGTAAGGACTATAAAATTAGATCTAATCGATAGGTTTTTCTTTGAAATTCACTACAACTCCCTCTTTAAGATTAGATATCAGTTTTATCACAGTTTCAATATTTTAGATGGGTAACCGGTTATTTATTGTATTCACACATAACTTTAATCCTCAGATTACTAGCGTGTTTTCATAGAAAGCATTAGTTTTATACATTTCCTAGTATAATATCGGAATTTCATACAATTCCAGGGAAATTTATAGATTTACCAGGATATGTGGGTATTAAAGAATCTTTGAAACAATATTTTATATGTTTCCTAAATAGCCTAGGAATTGTATACCTTTCCTAGGAATTGTAGTTTTCATACATTTGCCAGTACTTTCATGCACTGTCATCAAAGGAAAACACAAAACCAATTGCTTATTTTCAATTTAAGTGATTCTTTAGACTATTTGTTGATAGATATAGATACTTGCGGTTTATACAAAGAGAGCTCTTTAACGTAAAAAAAAACATTTTTATTGTTAAGTAATTACCAAAGAAAAAAAGATAAAATATCGTTCTCGTAATTACAGTTCATGTTCGGAACAGATTTCTGGAAGTGATATTGATTGCAACAATAAAAACGTTCGAGGATCTTCTAAAGAAATCACATTGATTTCTTTTTCTACGGTAGCAAATTTATTAGGGGAAGAGGAAGATTCGTGGCAGTAGACATTATCTTCTTTTTTAGTCACAGTTTAACAACTCAGATCTATTTATATCTACCTGAAAGCAGAACAAAATGATCTTGAGAATAATAAGAAAGAGTTTTTTGTACCAAGATAAACGACATGTGATACATTCCTTAATCTACAAGCTTTTTCAAGTTACGTAAATTATAGTTTTTATTATACCTGTAGGAGTTTTTCATAAATTCCAATTTTTAATGACATGTCCTTATTATATTTCATATTCTATGTCACTTATCAAAACAATTTTATGCAATATAGCATTTTACCAAAATAAACAATATGTTTTTAGCCCATCTGTTCTGCAGCAGTAATTCAAATTATCCATTATTGCACAGAGAAAATGAAAAACGAAAATTTATCTAAATATTAAAACGATATTTAGAATTTATCCCACTAGCCCGTTCCTTCGTAAGCGAAAATAATAAAAATTACAATTTGGATCCGGATTTTGTAGAAATAAAATCCCAGCAGAAATAAATTTACTAGGTATTTTAGTTGATATTACTAATTAAATTGTAACTTGAAATAATTTTTAAAAATATATGTCAAAATTGAGATTATTACAAGTTACCTAATAAATTCTACTATTTCTACGACAAATTCAGTCATTTACAGTCGAAAATTGTAGTTTTCGCTTTATCATAAAAATTTAGTTTTCTTTGTGTATAGATATATGTCTACTAGATAAATCCAATAAAAATAATTATTTTACCGAACTTTATGAGTATTTAATAAAATTAATGTAACGGTAGGGGTAAAAATTGCATTTTGTACATTTTGTTAAAGAAATTCATCCACTACATGGAGAAAATGGAAAACGAAAATTTACGTAAATATTAAAGCGATATTTACAACTTATCCTGGTAAACGAAAATAATAAAAATTACAGTTTAAACTGGAATTTGTAGAAATAAAATCCCAGCAGAAATAAATTTACTAGGTATTTTAGTTGATATTACTAATTAAATTGAAACTTGAAATAATTTTTAAAAATATATGTCAAAATTGAGATTATTACAAGTTACCTAATAAATTCTACTATTTCTACGACAAATTCAGTCATTTACAGTCGAAAATTGTAGTTTTCGCTTTATCATAAAAATTTAGTTTTCTTTGTGTATAGATATATGTCTACTAGATAAATCCAATAAAAATAATTATTTTACCGAACTTTATGAGTATTTAATAAAATTAATGTAACGGTAGGGGTAAAAATTGCATTTTGTACATTTTGTTAAAGAAATTCATCCACTACATGGAGAAAATGGAAAACGAAAATTTACGTAAATATTAAAGCGATATTTACAACTTATCCTGGTAAACGAAAATAATAAAAATTACAGTTTAAACTGGAATTTGTAGAAATAAAATCCCAGCAGAAATAAATTTACTAGGTATTTTAGTTGATATTACTAATTAAATTGAAACTTGAAATAATTTTTAAAAATATATGTCAAAATTGAGATTATTACAAGTTACCTAATAAATTCTACTATTTCTACGACAAATTCAGTCATTTACAGTCGAAAATTGTAGTTTTCGCTTTATCATAAAAATTTAGTTTTCTTTGTGTATAGATATATGTCTACTAGATAAATCCAATAAAAATAATTATTTTACCGAACTTTATGAGTATTTAATAAAATTAATGTAACGGTAGGGGTAAAAATTGCATTTTGTACATTTTGTTAAAGAAATTCATCCACTACATGGAGAAAATGGAAAACGAAAATTTACGTAAATNTATCTGACTTCCTAGGTATCTAAAATCAGCCACTTCTTCTAATTTTTCGTCTCCTATCTTTATATTCGCTCTTTCCCTACTTTTTCTTCCCTTGCATATCAGTATTTTTGTTTTACTTTTATTTATTTTCATACAGTACTGTTTTGTCAATATTTTATGTTATTGTTTCGATCGATGGACCATTTTTATACACTTAGCCTTAAGTAAGGACTATAAAATTAGATCTAATCGATAGGTTTTTCTTTGAAATTCACTACAACTCCCTCTTTAAGATTAGATATCAGTTTTATCACAGTTTCAATATTTTAGATATAATAATTATCAAGAAAACAAGAAGAATTGTGACAACATTCTAATTTTTAAGTATATTTTTCTCAGCAGTTGAACCTTCGTATGTTTAAGTTGTATTTTTATGGGCGCATTCTTTGAAAGATACATTTATTTTTAATTTTTTCTTTCCAGATGATACCTGTCCCATTATCATGTGCATGTTACTGCAAATAGAAGAAGCGGAACGAAAAATGGCCACCGAAATGGTTATTAAGCTCCAACATCCTGTGAAAAATATGTGGCCGTATTTAACAGAGAGCGCGAAATTCAGCAGTAGTTGTCTTTTAAATCTGCTGTGAAATCCCCATAAACGTAATGGATGTATCTTTTACGGCGAACATAGGACAGAAGGGTGCCGCTGTGAATTCAGCGCGTACTAGTAACTTAAGCCTTTTAAATTTGTCATCGCTTTTAAACACCACGTTCGTACCAATTATGATGACGCCATTTAAGGTCGATGTACAGTCTGCGTTGCGGTCTTCCAATTTTAACGAGTCCTCCTTGGACACTTCTTCAACGAGACCTCCTGGTTCTACCAACGACGGAATTAGTTCCTTTTACTTTTATAAGGTACGTGAAACATCTTAGATTAGTTACAAATTGATTCGCAAAAATTTTCAATGCCTTCACATTTTGCACATTTGTATACAAACGAGGCAAATTACCGAACATTATTGCACGATACGCCAATCAGCAGGGAGTTGGATTCGCAAATTTTACCGAGAAGTCAGGAAATTGCTTTAATCGTTTTATTTTCACTTTAACAATGTTGTTCTCCCCCAAAGCGTGGTAGGCGACCGCTGATTTTCCAAACTAACATGCACTCTTTTATCCTCTCTCGAACAGCACGACCCGTTTGTCCCACATAAACCATTCCACTTTCGTGGGCTATTCCGTTAGTTCAGTTGGCAGACCAAGTGTGGTTTGTGATTCTCGAGAACTAAGTTTTTAATAAAAGTTCACCGAGTTAGGCTGCTATTTTGCAACTAAGTAATTTTTTTTTTGAAAAATTGAAAAGGTGCTTAAAAGAAATTGAAAAAAAAAACTTTTTTTAGTTGCCAATTGTAGTTTGAAACACAAAGGATATGTAAAAACATCAAGAATGATGTAACATCAAAGTAGCATTGGCATAAAAATTAATTTTTGAATTTTCTTAATTGTAAATTGAAATTATGTAAAAACCGCTAAACCAATATTCACCAAATTTTCGATGTAAGTTAAGTATATATTGAACTACCTAAATTTAGATTTTTATTGCAAAAAAAAGACTAATTCCTGCATTGCTTCGCAGTGCATTGAAATGTAAGCGTGTTTGTTAACAGTTTTTGCCAATTTTTAAATAAATAAATTTAAATTATTTCGATCTATCGCTGTCTTGTAGAGAAGTAAACAAGGAATAAAAATTGTCCAGTGCAATTTCCTTTCGGGATGTTTCTATCTCGAGTTATTTACAGAAACATGCTGAAAAAAGTGATTTCTGCAAAAATTCCTCACTCCAGAGGATTAAGTTTATCCTTCATCGATCTCAAGTTTTCTTATATCTTCGCGACAGCCTCTTAGTATTTTTTTTTCACATTTTAACTTTAAAGACGCTACGTTCAAACATTAAACACTGACTTAATAGACAGAAAAGGTTCAAATGTAACTTTTATGAAATTATTCTGAGCGAATAGCAGATTTATCTTATTTATGAGTCGTTTGTTTTTTTTTTATAAGAAGATCTTGTGAACTAAAAATAGATGCGATCTCGCACATATTCGATTAATATAAAAACAGATAACGCATTAAACTTGAAGAATATTCTTTCCGGTTTCCTGTAAGAATCTTTTTTTTTTTCTATTGTACGAAATAGAGCAAAAATGTCAAAACAAAACATTGTTTGTTGTGTGTTCATAACAAAATTTGAAATATAGTCCGTGTGGGGATATGGATTTTCCATCAAAGCAATAAGAGAATATGGAGTTTGTTGGCCCGACAACATTTTGTGTACTTATAGAAAGAACAAAAGCGGACATGCTGACGAATACATTAATTCAAGTATAGGATTTCATATGTGCTTTACCAAGTAAATACAAAAACCAACGAACCATTGTGTTGGAAAATTTTCTGAATTTTCGATATTCCTTGGGCAAAAAAAAATAACAACCCACCTATCAATCTCTTACGAAAACTAATCATTTTATTAAAGAAATAAAACCACCTTGCACTTTAATATTTCATAACTGATAGGGAAATCGCGGTTGGTAAGTTCTAAAACATTTTAATAACCAAAATAAAACCACTGTTTTAGAATTACAACAATTTAATAAGAAAACTCTTACAATATCGTTTCGGCTTATTAGGCCATTATCAAAGAGTTAAATCGAAACTAAACTAAAAATCAGAAACATGAAAATTTATACAATGTTAACTTTTTCATCCTGAGAGAATGCCTTTTGAATTTCAAATTTTTCTAATAAATTTAATCGTTTGCAATGTTAATTTTTTTTTTTTCGACATTGATTTAACTCTTTGGTAATGGCCTAATAATATTGTAAGTGTTTTCTTATTAAATTGTTGTAATTCTAAACAAGTGGCTTTATTTTGGTTATTTAATATTTCAATTTACTTAGAGTTTTACTGTACAATTGATCCGACTTTTTAGGCCTTTGTAAAAATGTTTCATATTGCAACAAACAAAAAATCATTGAAAGTTACTAATCATTTTAATTAGCAATATAATGGAAATACAACAGTTGGAGATATGGAACAATTTTGAATACTAATTTAATGAAAATTATTACGAATCAAAATTGAGCATTCAGTTTAAATACCTTCATTTAGGTATATTAGTGCTGTATATACATATACCTTTATAGATATAGCAAAAAGTAATATCTTATTTTATTTCTAACAATTAAATTCGATTTTATGGAATATTACATTTAACCTGCGTCCCGCTCTCGCATTTATATCATAAATACGTGTCAAACATCTTTAACAACCACATGAAACTAATTTCTTCTATCTATTGGAAACAGCATTTTTCTTTTAGATAAAAGGGACCCTATGTTCTTTTCTGTACCCCTGACAATATTTTTACAAAATTTTGATTGAGTAGTTGAAGCGTGAAATCGATCATATAAAGCTAATTTCTTTCAATCCTTTACGAACATTATTTTTTCTGGATAAAAGATACCGTATGTGCTTTTCTGTACCCCTGACAATGTGTGTATAAAATTTCGTGATGATCAGTTAAGTAGTTAAGGCTTGAAATGGTAACAAATAAACAAACCCATATTCGCATTTATAATTTAATTAGGATGAATGTAATAAGCTTTAAAAATCAATTGATTAAATCTACAACTTTCTCATATTTGAACATAATTTATTCAAAAAATATATAGACTTCTTCAGAAATTTATCAAAACTTTATCAGAGTTGATGTAATATTAAGCTGTTGTTTATTCATTTAAATGATTATTAAATAACGGTAATTTATTTTGGACAATAACACTAATTATCCACTTAAACTACTGCTTATTTTTTTCGCCATATACGAGGGTGGATTGATAAGTTTCCGGCCTAACCAAGAGATGACGCCACTAGGCCTACCTTGAGGTGACATTCTATAGTACCATCCTTGGATAGCTTGTAGCTATAGTTTCAGCCCGATCTCCTTGCTAGTGTAGGTTTGACAGCACGCTGAACAAGACGCCTCTGTGGTTTTCGTAAAAATGGAAAAGCAGGAAAATCGTGCTGTCATCAAATACTTTTATTTGAAGGGGTTAACGCCGAAGGAAATTAAAAAAGAGATGGACTCAACACTGGGGACATCCTCCCCGTCATATTCAACCGTTAAGCAGTGGGTTTCCGAGTTTAAAAAGGGTCGTGTGAGCACCTCTGATGGGCCTCGCTCAGGACGCCCCGTTGAGGTCACAACTCCAGATATGATCGAAAAAATTCATCAAATAGTGCTGGGAGACCGCAGATTGAAAGTGCGTGAGATAGCTGAGACCTGTAAGATGTCATATGAACGTGTGCAACATATTTTGCACCAACATTTGCATATGGAAAAGCTCTGTGCAAGATGGGTGCCGCGTTTGCTAACAGTCGACCAAAAATTGATTCGAAAAAACATTTCTACCGCAAATTTGTCATTGTATAAGCGTAATCCAAGCGAATTTTTGCGTCGATTCGTAACCGTTGACGAAACGTGGGTCCACCACTACACTCCTGAAACCAAAGAACAGTCTAAACAGTGGATTGGACCAGGGGAACCAACTCCAAAGAAGGCAAAAACAATTTTTTCGGCGAACAAGGTTATGGCTACTGTTTTTTGGGATGCAAGAGGTATTATATACATTGATTACCTTGCAAAGGGTAATACTATCACTGGTCAATACTACGCAGACTTATTGCAACGTTTGAGCCACGAGGTGAAAATTAAACGACCTCATCTGGCGAAGAAAAAAATCTTGTTTCATCACGATAACGCACCAGCGCACACGTCAATCGTTGCGACGGCTAAAATCAACGATCTAAAGTTTGAATTGATGCCGCACCCTCCTTACTCTCCAGACCTAGCCCCGAGTGACTATTTTCTGTTCCCTAATCTCAAAAAATGGCTTGGCGGTAAGAGATTTGCGGACAATGAAGAAGTAATCGAAGCTGTAAATGGTTATTTTGAGGAGCTTGACGAATCAGTCTATAGAGATGGCATTAATAGACTGGAACACCGCTATGAGAAATGTATCAGCCTTGGAGGAGATTATGTTGAGAAATAAAAAAAAAAAATTTTTAAAAACCTTGTTTTTCTTGGTCAGGCCGGAAACTTATCAATCCACCCTCGTATTTATAAACCTTACTTATTTGGAACTGTAATTATATCATTTTATATTCACCTTGCAATTCGCCTTGCTTATTTATATTACATATTGGTCACCTGTCTACAGCCCAGCTGACTGAAGGGTAGGGGGAAAAGCTGCCACCCTGAAAAACAATTTATATTGTCATCCAATTCTCCAGAATAAGTTTTCATTTTTTTGAAAGACCATCGAAATTTTTTTGTTACGCGGTTAAGTATGTGTCGTGCACGAATAATTTATCACATCCAAGCACGTCGCTTTTGCCTTCGGTATCATTAATAAAAAGGTTGCCTGTCGACTATTTTTTAAACACTTAAAGCCCAGGTAATCAATAATATATTTTTCACATAGGTGCATGCTTGTATTATTACATTAATAATGGTTTTATTGTTGTTGACTTTCATCATTTCCCGATAATGACAATGATACAAGGACTACCTCAAATTACAAAAATCAGTTTTAATTTACTTGTAAATTACAAACAGATTATGTGGAAACACTTTTAGTTGTATATGCTTAATTGTTTCAAAAATCAGATGCTAAGTTATGTTTCAATTTCATAATTCGGTGCCTAGTATCTTTATTAATTAGTCTTCCCTTTATTGACAGTTGTTTCAAAAAAGTGACCTTCCTTTCATTCATTTACATTCCAACATCAACGGATGAGTTCTCTTTCTCTAAATTTATATTTTCATTAAGACAGTGGCTTTTAATTTTTTACTT